CGCTTTCTTGAAAATTTTGATACTTCCCAATGAGCTAGAGACTTGAAACTTCAAACATAGCTCACAAATGGATAACAATGCAATATTATAGCATTTAATTTTCATATTTCGCTTGGGCTACGCCCCACTGGCTTCCAAATTTTTCATGTTTACATTTTGAAAGAATGTAAATATATCAATTAATTAAAGTCAGCTGTAAATACTTAAATTTGACAGTTCAAAAAGCAGAGGTTAAGCTCCCTCTGCTTAACTCCCTCTGCTAAAATTGTAACAGGTTCTGCTCCCAAGAGATTCTTTATACAAACAAACATTTCAAAATAAAGATAAACAATCTGATTGCAGATATAAAGGTGTTTGTTAATAATGTCATTTGTTATTTGTTTAGTATTCTATAAAGTAAACAATAAATTAAATAGATTGATATATTTATAGTTTAGTAGGTAGGCCATACATTCAATCTAATACATAACATGCCTCTGTCCTAATTGCATGAAATAGATTTAACATCCACACACATTAAAAACTAAAAAGTAGAAAATAATTTATAAATAAAAAACTTTTTTAAAACAAAAGGTTTTTAATTGCACTAAAAAGTAGAAAATAATTTATAAATATGTGGAGAGTATAAATACTTGTATGATTTAAAACAAAAAACGTGGGGTGCATACAATTGATAATGATACATTAGTTCAATAGGTGAAGGTAATTGTAAATTATCTATTGCATGCACCCCACGTTTTTCGTTTTAAATCATACAAGTATTTATACTCTCCACATATTTATAAATTATTTTCTACTTTTTAGTGCATTTAAAAACGTTTTGTTTTAAAAAAGTTTTTTATTTATAAATTATTTTTGTCTTAGTACGCTAGGCACGAGCCTGGAATTGTTTTCACATTACTTCAGGCTAGACCTAGGGGTTAAACGGCAATATCACCTAGATAAAATCCATTGGTGATTTGGCGGAGTTTGAATCCGGGACCCCCAGGAACCGGAGTCCCGCGCTCTAGCCATTAGACCAGCTCGTTCCCCACTCTCTGATAATGGTGTGTCGGCTAATTTAGTTATGAGTGAAATACTAGTACTTAGTTTTTTAGTAAAATATTGATAAGTAATAATTATACTAGGGCACCCATACATAAATTATGCACAAAACTCGTCTCCGATTCATACTCAATACTGCAATACCCTTTAATACTTAAAAAGTTATGATTGCTAAAGACAGCTATTAGGTGAATAAAACTACTAATCTGCCAGATTCGGAATAAATATAATTTCTTTATTGTAGATTTATACCACAAAGATTGATTTACGTACGTCAATCAGGTTACAATCGTTTTCTAAAAATATCCTCGGCTGGTTATGTTAAGTCCATTTTCATAAACTGTTTCGTCTTATGTTTTCTATCTGACTGTGGTTAAACATTCAACTTAAGGATCAACGGTAATTAAACATTTACAACCGTTGTAAAGAAAGTTGATCAGAATTACTTGATCTTTAAAAGTGGACTCTAGAAAGATATTAAATGCTTAAGGGACGAAGCCTTAAATGAAATCACCCTTCTGGTTACGATTTGTCACTCCGCTAGAACATGAGCTTTAAAATCACACCTAAATCGTCAAAATTGGTTCAATAGGACAGGGGGAAAGGGGATGCAACGGAGAAAACCCTAATTGTGTTAGATATTTTATGATACATCCAAAATTATTAACGAAGTTGACACTAGATAAGGGCTTGTTTGATTATAAGCTGATGATGATGTGTTTATTGATCATCCCTGATGTTAATTTATCGCTGGTATCAGCGAAATTTAATCAATGCCTACTGGAAGGTGTGTTTGTTTACACATAACTAAGGATGGTGTATTAGTTAATCACCGATAATGTTATGTTTGATAATCGATCACCAATATTGGTCTATTTATAAATCTACCACCAATGACAGTGTGTTTGTTAATCAATCCTCTGACGGTGGTGTGTTTGTCTATCAATCTCTGATGGTGTTGTGTTTGTCAATCAATCTCTGACAGTGGTGTGTTTGTGAATCAATCTCTGACAGTGGTGTGTTTGTGAATCAATCTCTGATGGTGGTGTGTTTGTCAATCAATCTCTGATAGTGTTGTGTTTGTCAATCAATCTCTGACAGTGGTGTGTTTGTCAATCAATCTCTGATGGTGGTGTGTATGTCAATCAATCTCTGATGGTGGTGTGTTTGTCAATCAATCTCCGACCGTGGTGTGTTTTTTAATCACTCTCTGATCGTGGTGTGTTTGTTAATCAATCTCTGACGGTGGTGTGTTTGTCAATCAATCTCTGATGGTGGTGTGTTTGTCAATCAATCTCTGACAGTGGTGTGTTTGTCAATCAATTTCTGACTGTGGTGTGTTTGTCAATCAATCTTTGACGGTGGTGTGTTTGTCAATCAATCTCTGACAGTGGTGTGTTTGTTTATCAATCTCTGACTGTGGTGTGTTTATCAATCAATCTCTGATGGTGGTGTGTTTGTCAATCAATCTCTGACAGTGGTGTGTTTGTCAATCAATTTCTGACTGTGGTGTGTTTGTCAATCAATCTTTGACGGTGGTGTGTTTGTCAATCAATCTCTGACAGTGGTGTGTTTGTTTATCAATCTCTGACTGTGGTGTGTTTATCAATCAATCCCTGATGGTGGTGTGTTTGTCAATCAATCTCTTACAGTGGTGTGTTCAAAAAATTCAATCTCTGACTGTGGTGTGTTTGTCAATCAATCCCTGACAGTGGTGTGTTTGTTTATCAATCTCTGACCGTGGTGTGTTTATCAATCAATCCCTGACAGTGGTGTGTTTGTTAATCAATCTCTGACAGTGGTGTGTTTGTCAATCAATCTCTGACGGTGGTGTGTTTGTCAATCAATCCCTGACAGTGGTGTGTTTATTAATCAATCTCTGACAGTGGTGTGTTTGTCAATCAATCCCTGACAGTGGTGTGTTTGTTAATCAATCTCTGACAGTGGTGTGTTTGTTAATCAATCTCTGACGGTGGTGTGTTTGTTAATCAATCCTCTGACGGTGGTGTGTTTGTCTATCAATCTCTGATGGTGTTGTGTTTGTCAATCAATCTCTGACAGTGGTGTGTTTGTGAATCAATCTCTGACAGTGGTGTGTTTGTGAATCAATCTCTGATGGTGGTGTGTTTGTCAATCAATCTCTGATAGTGTTGTGTTTGTCAATCAATCTCTGACAGTGGTGTGTTTGTCAATCAATCTCTGATGGTGGTGTGTATGTCAATCAATCTCTGATGGTGGTGTGTTTGTCAATCAATCTCCGACCGTGGTGTGTTTTTTAATCACTCTCTGATCGTGGTGTGTTTGTTAATCAATCTCTGACGGTGGTGTGTTTGTCAATCAATCTCTGATGGTGGTGTGTTTGTCAATCAATCTCTGACAGTGGTGTGTTTGTCAATCAATTTCTGACTGTGGTGTGTTTGTCAATCAATCTTTGACGGTGGTGTGTTTGTCAATCAATCTCTGACAGTGGTGTGTTTGTTTATCAATCTCTGACTGTGGTGTGTTTATCAATCAATCCCTGACGGTGGTGTGTTTGTCAATCAATCTCTTACAGTGGTGTGTTCAAAAAATTCAATCTCTGACTGTGGTGTGTTTGTCAATCAATCCCTGACAGTGGTGTGTTTGTTAATCAATCTCTGACTGTGGTGTGTTTATCAATCAATCCCTGACAGTGGTGTGTTTGTTTATCAATCTCTGACCGTGGTGTGTTTATCAATCAATCCCTGACAGTGGTGTGTTTGTTAATCAATTTCTGACTGTGGTGTGTTTGTCAATCAATCTCTGACAGTGGTGTGTTTGTCAATCAATCTTTGACGGTGGTGTGTTTGTCAATCAATCTCTGACAGTGGTGTGTTTGTTTATCAATCTCTGACTGTGGTGTGTTTATCAATCAATCCCTGATGGTGGTGTGTTTGTCAATCAATCTCTTACAGTGGTGTGTTCAAAAAATTCAATCTCTGACTGTGGTGTGTTTGTCAATCAATCCCTGACAGTGGTGTGTTTGTTTATCAATCTCTGACCGTGGTGTGTTTATCAATCAATCCCTGACAGTGGTGTGTTTGTTAATCAATCTCTGACAGTGGTGTGTTTGTCAATCAATCTCTGACGGTGGTGTGTTTGTCAATCAATCCCTGACAGTGGTGTGTTTATTAATCAATCTCTGACAGTGGTGTGTTTGTCAATCAATCCCTGACAGTGGTGTGTTTGTTAATCAATCTCTGACAGTGGTGTGTTTGTTAATCAATCTCTGACGGTGGTGTGTTTGTTAATCAATCTCTGACGGTGGTGTGTTTGTCAATCAATCTCTGACGGTGGTGTGTTTGTCAATCAATCCCTGACAGTGGTGTGTTTATTAATCAATCTCTGACAGTGGTGTGTTTGTCAATCAATCCCTGACAGTGGTGTGTTTGTCAATCAATCTCTGACGGTGTTGTGTTTGTCAATTAATCTCTGACGGTGGTGTGTTTCTTAACCAATCTCTGATGGTGGTGTGTTTTTTAAATCAATCTCTGAAGGTAGTGTGTTTTTCAATCAATCTCTGATGGTGGTGTTTGTTAATCTATCCCTGACAGTGGTGTGATTGTCAACCAATCTCTGACGGTGGTGTGTTTGTCAATCAATCCCTGACAGTGGTGTGATTGTCAATCAATCCCTGACAGTGGTGTGATTGTCAATTAATCACTGACAGTGGTGTGTTTGTTTCAATTAATCCCAGTCAGTGGTGTGGGTGTTTATTAATCTCTGACGTGGTGTGTTTGTCAATCAATCTCTGACGGTGGTTTGTTTGTCAATCAATCTCTGACGGTGTGTTTTTTATCAACCACTGATGATGCTGTGTGTGAATAGTCAATCTCTTGATGTTGTTTGTATTTGATGAATTTATGATGATGGTGCTTTTGAAAATCTATATAGTATGGTGTAATTTCAAGCGCTGATGATGGTGTGTTTCTCTTTAGGTGGAGGAGATACGGGAAATGATAGACAAGATACAGGCCAATGTGGAAGAAGTCAAGAAAAAACACAGTGCCATCCTGTCCGCCCCACAGACTGATGAAAGTGAGTAAATTACAATTTCTATCTTAGTTTAGTTGCAAATTGTGAATGATTCTTCTTCTCACCTGCTTCTGGTTTTTCATCGTCGTTAGAAACCTCTAAATTAATTAATAACCGCAATTTGGTGTTATTTTATGGCCTCTTCATGTCATCATTGTCTACAGATGGATATTTCAATCAATGTTTATATAAAATTTTATAAAAATTGAGAAAACTGTAGCTCTCTGAGTTTGGGGGTATTAAAAATGGACTTTTGTTCGTGACACATGAATGAATTAAAACGATGATTGAGAAAATATTTGTAATTTACTAAGCTCAGAAAACATATTTAACACCTCAATTGACTTTCTCAAACCATAGTCAATCAGAAATATTATTCGAAACTACTACAACATTTAATTCACAAATTTACTCACAACTATTGAATTTTTAAAAAGAACTGATTATGAAATAAAATATACTAGCTGCTATACTCCGTGCTGTGAATGGGGAGGAAGCACGGAAAGCGATGTAACATATTTATTTAGACACTACAAATAATTTACGTTATACAACTACCGCTATGTTTTTGAGGTTGAAATGTTATGATTATCTATGAATCCTTTGTTGGGTAGGGTTAGGTCTAAGTCATGACCTAAAACATCAAGTGAAAAGGTTGTGCAAACACGTGAAATTATTGAAATTATTAGTGAAATTATTTTATTCCCTTTAGAATCCAAGTGTAGCAAGATAGATATAAAGGTAAATATAGGTGCAAAAACTATTCCCGGTTATACCTAATATTATCTTTATAAATCATTATGATTGTATGTATTGTTACATACAAATACTATAGTATAAATATAAACGTCCAAAATAATAACATCAATAACGTTCGTACAGATACATAAATCTTAACAGTTTCACTTGCATCAGTTCCAGTGAAGTGCTCTAACGGTGTAACAGTGACATTGCCCGTCGAAAGCTGTAATTCGTCTAAGTAGCACTTAAACATGACCCTGTCTCCCCCAGGTGCGATTAGCATTTTGACTTCTCCCCCCTCCCACCACTCCCACGACAATCTCCACATCACATCGCATCACTACACTTGCCTTAAAAATTGGATTTTGGTGTGTGCTCTTCTTTTGTTCTCACTTGTAATACTTTTGTAATATTATCGTGAGATTTGATGGAAGCTGTTTTATGAATAAGAAAAGTGTCTTCCAACTCTAAATGAAATCTTTATGCTTTGGTATATTTTGTAAAGTTTTAAAAATCATTAATAATAAAAATTTATATTGCAAAGATATGATGAACGCTTTTTTTTATTAATATGAAGACTAAATATGATTTGTTTTATTAAGGGTGAATCTTAATAAGTTACACAATTTTGAAACAAAAAGCAAAATTAATTTCTAGTTTTCAACAGACTAATTTATACTGAGGTAAAAAAACAAACCTTATAATTTTTATTTAGCCTAACTACCAATATCTTGACTCAAAACAAAACCCATTTTAATTTTTCTCAACAGTAATCGGTCATTGATGGTTAAAACATTGATGACAGTTAAAATGCTAGTGTCTACAAAGTCATTTGTATGTTTTTTGGTTTATTTGTAAAAAAAAATGAAAATTTATTTTAGGTAGGCTACATAATTAATACACAATTTTAGTGATCACCTATAAACTATAGTTTGCAAATAATTCTTTACAACAAAGGATAACAAGATCACAGATTTTTATTTAAAGAAAGTTTTGACAGTAAATTTGTTTTAACCTAAAAATATACAAAATGTTGAACTCTTAAAACAAAATTAAAATTTGGCCTAACTTAATTCAAACAACCAAGTCAAGTAGTATTTATACTGGTTGCAAGGTGAATGCAGTGGAATTTGTTATGTCATTCATTCATCATCTGTGATGCGCTCTCTTGTGTGGGTCTTAGCAATTAGACGATAATAGAACTGTGGGAAAGTTTGTAATATTCCATGTTTCATGGCCATTTAAAATGTTCACATCATGAACAGTTAATTAGTTATTAATACTAGTTTGTTTGCAATTAGCTTTGTGTAATACTTAATCATTCATGTTTCCTTTAAGGAAAATTTATTACAGCTTTGTTGCCACTGAATTAACTTTGTCTCACTAAATTGATGTTTTGAAAATTTTTTTAATATGTTAAACATATTTTTTTTATAAAAAATGTTGGATAAACCATACTAGCAGCGCTTTTTGTTCCTTAGATGTAAACAATTGTTATGCTCCTATGTCTCTGGGGCATCATTATCACATAAAAAATTTAGGTTACATAGAGAAGGTAAAGTTCTCATAAAAATATATTTAAAACATGTTTTACAAGCACACAAAGTATGGAATAGTATTCCGATTTACACACGTTATGTATTTATTTTTGGTCTCTGAGTATCGAGCTTGACTAGTGGTGGAGCGGAGGACCTCGGTCCTTGAGGTCCTGGGTTCAAATCCTGCCAATTGTATATAAGTGATAATGCGTCAACCACTAAGCATAGCTTGAAGTAGTGTGAAAAACAATTTTAGGCTAAATCCTAGTGTCCTAGGACAAAAAAAATTTTTTGTCTCTAACTCCAATTTATTCTTAACTTTTGAATATACTCCAGCTCACACTGGCAGAAATTGATAAATATTGATTGATTGAACAATATAGCATCCTCTATCAAGGTATGATCATCGATGGGTATGATAAATAAATTAGCCTGATACAAATTTAATACCAGGGTTTATCATCATACCAAAAGATATGTAACATTAAATGTCTGGGTAGCTGAGTGGTTATAGGGTTTGCCTTCAAATCTAAAGGTCGCTGGTTCGATTCCTGGTTCGATTCCAAGCAAGGTTGTTACTGGACTCAGTCGCCATTTGCATTGTGCTATCATTAACGGAGATATCTTACGAAATGTTTATTAGATGCAGACTTATGTTTGGACTGCACTCTTAAAAAACCTAAACAAATGAGAATTACGTTAAAACGCCATAAAATAAACACTAAGCTCACTCAACAAACAAAGTTGTAACTTTCTGAAACGTTCCGTAGCAGAGTTAACGAGATTCGGCAGAAACCTGGAAACCCTTCCGTGGCTCCGTTCCTATTAACATGTTAATTCATATTACCATTGAACACGTATTGTCCTACGGTTGGTTCATCTGCATTTGTGTTGGCGCTACATTGCAATACTCGCTGACAAAAGATAACATTGTAAGCGGCTTTGGTTAAACATTTTTGAAGTGTTTAAAGTAGACGCAGTGTGATTGAATGCTATTCTATTTTTGAATGGTATATGGGGGGACAGTCCAAACAATGGTCTTGTTACCTTCTAACGGCCTTTTATAGCATCATTTAGATTATTAATAGAGCATCATTAATATTTTTTGGAATCAATACCTTTTTAATTGAATTGTTATTTAAGTTTTCCAGGTTTTTTCTTCTTGTTATTTTGTTTGTAAAACTGTTGGGGAAATTAATCTAATTTGATTTGAGCATTTTGATGGTTCAAAACTGTACCCAGCTGTCCTTTATTGTTGGGCATTTAATAAATTGGTCCTGGATAAAAACAGCTGATCTTAGTGAGAATACTACAGAGACCTCATTAATTTTTCATTCATATTTAGCTTAAAATACACACCTATATGTGTGACACTGCCATAAAAGTAATCATAAAGAATTGACTCTGTCTACGATTGAAGCAGCACCCTTCTAAGTATAAGGCAAGCCGTTCAACTCAGGTACACAGATTGTAAAATAAATTAGTGAAATATAAGATTTTTCAAACAAATTGTAGACTCAACATGAAATTGTTAAAATTAATTCTCTTAGACATTGTTACAAAGCAATGTTGGTTAAAACTTTACATTACTTTTCCTGTCAGATAAGTATGACTACATTAGTTCCGAGGAAACTTCGTAAAAGTAGGTTAGACGACGATATAAGTGGGTAGTAATTCATGGCTTATCTGAAGGCTTTTAGGTCACTAACAATACCTAAAACCATAAATAAACCCACAACGAAATATTCTTCATACCTATTCGAAATATTCTTGATTTCGACAATACTTCAATAAATATTTTTAGTTTAAATTGTTAATGTTTTATGTGAATAGATTTATTGTCCACAGCACCTATTGAGTAAAAGTAGTATATTGAATAAAATATTTGTCTACCATTAAATAACATGTTGCAATAGATTTATTGGCCTATTATTGTACTTCCATTCGATGGTATTGAGACATATGTTTGTATTTCCCCAGAAGAGTTTAAACAGATTGATAACAGAGGTTATACTCTACTAGCTCTGGGTGTCTAATGAGTGATAACATAATTAGTCTCGTTACTGGAAACCAATTAGTGACAACCATCAATAAGCAACAGTGGCAATTGTTGTTCATAGTTGGGCCTGTGACAAAACATCCTCAAAAATTCTTTTTTACATTGCATTTTAGTGATATTTTGCGGCATAAGTTAGCTAATATTTAACATGAACACAAAAACGAATTTGTATCTACTGTAATGTTTAACTTTAATCACTATGTTTTTATTCAATATCTACTATCAAACAATAATTAGAAAATGCAATGGTTGAGGTTAAGAATGTAACATAGAGCACAAGGGCCTTGGTATTTAGGTTATCCTCATTAAAAAAGCATGTAATGATTGTATGGATCAAATCTGTTTATCCAGAAAAAAAGAATCAAAATTGTAGTTGGTCTCCAGTACAAACAGAAGTTTTATCCCCTTTCAATTCATGGCTGGAATTTATGTTTAAACCATTAAATAATATTAACAAAAATAATGTTACAGTTTATTCCTATTAGGGAAAGCTTTAATTTCTGTAGCCTAAATAATGTACTGTTAGAGACAATTTAGTATTTTAATTGTAGTGAAATGTATTTTTGCAGTTAAAGAATAATAGCTTTTACAATTATTTTTTGAATTATCTTATCAGTAAAATCAGTAAATTTGGTATACATTTAATAATTAGTGAATTTCAAAAG